AAAGGGATACAGCAATTGCCATGTATGTATTTTCCTGTAAATAATCTAGTGGCAATGTTTCTGTTTGGGATTTCTGCTTCATTTCTGCTTGGCAACTGGCTTTGAAGAGGTTCAGGGGGTTTTATTTGCTTTTTCGAGGGAGGGAGAATAAAGATAAGGGAAGGTTGACTGAGGCTGTCGTGAGACCAGTGAAGCTGCAGCACATAGGCTGGGAGCATGGCTCACCCTTCACATGTGCTTAGGGAGGCAGCCAGGTTCCCAGACAGGATGGACAGCTAGCTGGGAAGGAAAGGATAGCACAAAAATATTCTATGGTCACATGGCCAGGTTTTATTTGGGCTGGCCTTCACCCCGTCCCCATCACCTTTCCTGGGCAAGGCTCTCTCTCGAGGCTTGTGTAAAAAAAAAAAAGAAGCTACACCCTTTTAATTAAAGCTGTGTATTTAAGCAGGTTTCCAGTAAACTACTGCAAGTGCCTGGACTCTTATTTCAGCATGAAGGTGTGTTTTGTGGGTTTTTTTGTTGTTGCTGTGTGGGTTTGGGGTTTTGTTTGTTTATTGTTTGTTTGGTTTTGGTTTTTTTTTTTTGTTTTTAAATAATTGACTTTTGAGTTATTTTAGCTTAGGAAAAACAATTAAGAGCAGACTGCAATTAATACACCATCTTCACACCTCCTCCTCAAAAAAAAAAGGGTCACCTGAGATTGAATGAAAATCACTGGAACATTAGCTTGTATGGGAGAGTGTCCCACCAGACGAGAAGGCCTCATCACAGCCCAAAAGCTCTTCTGGAATACCTGGCTGAAGGAACACAGCTTTTGTAATGGCCACCTCTTGGCTCTAAGAGAGCTTATTTCTCTGAGCAGCAGAGCCCTTTTCTGCACCACTCTGGCTTTGAACCAAAGAGCATGAGACCTAAATGATGCTGTGTGACTTCCCAAGTTTTGTGATACGCACGGATGGTTTGGCCAGCATTGTTCATGCCAAGTGCTCAGATAGGCGGAGGGACTTTGCATGTGGCGTGTCCCCTCCGAATTGTCCCACAGCGGCCCGTCCCAGCGGACCACCTCGATGGCTGAATGAACAGCAGCTGTTCATTAACACGGAACAGAGATCCGGCACTGGCCATAGGAAGTAAAAGCCCTAGAGCACACTGCAGTAGCCTTGTTCTCCCTTTACAAAGCTGCTCTCTGTTAAACTGTGGTATCGACCCTCATTGGCGTACAAATGCCCTTCGTTAGGGTTTGCACGCTGTGTTATATGAGTCCGCAGTTAAAAAGCAAATGAACAAAACCTGCTTGTGGTAATTTACTGTAATGGCACTGGAAGTCAGTTTAATCAGGGAAAAAATGTTTGGGGTGATTATGTTTAACTGTAGTGCTGGAAAGTGAGGGACGCTTGGGCGCTGAGGCGGTGACTTCACCGGTGACTGGGGAGGAGATGGATTATTTGCAAAATCTCAGCCTGACATGGCTCTCCCAGAACACCCTGCTCCTAAAACACAGATCTTTATATGTTTAATAAGGTGTTAAGAGCAGACCTTGAAATGTTCATTTGCATTCCGCTGTTCTGGATCATTTCAGTGACCACCTGGTGCCCCTTTCTTCTTTTTCTTTTCTTTAAAGACGCTTTTGCATCCTGTGTATTACTTTCTGTTTACCCTTTGGGCCCCAGCTTGGCAGAGTGCCATGGAATGTATTTGGTGTCCTGTCCTTTCCTAACTCAGCAAAACACTGAAGACAGTGCATAAGGATAAGCTGTTGTGTTTCCGCTCCCACCTCACTGTGAGAGCCTCATTCTACCAGCTGCTAGAGTAGCCTTTGCTTGGAAGGTGGGAGAAGGATCTTAAAGTTTGTCCAAACAGTACTTTTATTCCCAGGGAGATTTTTAACATTTATGTTGGTGGCTTGGTCAGATTTGCATACTTGAATAGTGATAGCAGCCTGGTATCAAAGTGGTAGGAAGGAGTTCTGTTCAAATAGAAAAATAATTTACTTTCATAGGTCCAAGACAGTTTATTCTCAGACATCAGGAGCTGAAAGACTTTCCAACTGAGGTGCCATTTTCCCTGTGTTAGTGCTACAATTGTGAAGGTAGCTGTGATTCACAAATTCAGTTAGTTGGCTTAGCTGCAAGCAAAGCAATAACTCTACCCTTTCTGAAATTACCAGAGTGAAAGTCTGTATTTTAACCTTAAGAAGAGGTAGCAGCTTTGGGGAGTGTCATTAGAAAGTGGAACTCATGAAATCACACTGAACAGTGAATTGCCTATCTTTTTAGTGTGTCTGTGTGCGTGGATGTGATTGAGAGAGGGAGAGCAAGGATGAATCTGACACAAACTGTATTAAGTTTAGGAGTGAATGCAGAGGAGGCCGTAGTTTCAGACTGATTTAGGAGTGCATTTGAGTCTGTTGAAGGAACCTGGTGTAAATGGCTGTGGGCTGCTGCCATGCTGAGGGTCCCTTTGGCCATCAAATCTGCGCCACCTCCAAGGGACACAGGCTGAGTCACCTGAGCCTGCTTCCACCAGCAGCACCACGCGTCCCACCCAGCTTCTGCCAGGAGAGGTATTCTGGTGAGGGGACAGAGCTGGGCTGATCCCCATGTCCTGAGTGGGCCCCGCTGTGCTGGTATGATACTGCTCTATAAATGATCTAAAAAGATAAACCAACTGAACTGTTTTAAGTTTAGTTTGTTTAAGCCTTTTAGAGTGGCGTGAGCACACCGAATCTTTTAGTTGTCCTTCTATGGATATCTTTTGCTTTGTCATGGTGATGACGTGCTTATTTGATCTATTTAGCCCCAACGTATTTTGGCTAACACTATGTTGTCCTCTGCTCTAGGAGGCCTCTTTGATTCAGGTGCCACCACAGCTTCTGCCACCGCAGCTTCTCTAGGAAGCAAGCCAGGATTTTTCTGGTAATCAGAGTGCATTGCATTTGTTCACTGTTGTTCCTCTTCCCTTATCTCTGTTTGTATTACGTTACCATTCAGGGTGTTCCCGCACTTGTCCCGTGCTTGTATGGTGCCCAAAAGATGGCACCTCTGTGAGCTTGTGATCTGTGTGGGGGACAAAAAGGACCAGAGAGAGTAGCTAGAGATTGCTATAAAGATCTCAATGTTGTATTTTTCTGCTCTAAATGAAATTCCTGCTGTAGGTCTTCCTGCATGCTGAAGTGAGGAATCTGTGTGAAAGTGTCTTCGCTCCATGCGTGTTTATTGTCAAAGTCCTTCAGGTTTTGTTTGACTATTTTGATGTGTCCAGTTTCTTATCTGATGCTTTCTAGTTACCTTTCAAATTCACGGGCAAAGTCCAAAGAAAGATTGGCATATACTTACAGAGGGTGGAGTTGGCAAAGAAATGGTTTAGCTCTACCTCCTTTTTGATTGGAAAGTTGTCCCTGTAAAATAACCCCAGCTGGTGCCTGAAAGAGAAAGAGTTTCTGCATCTTCTGTGACTGCTACTGTCACAGAACCCAGAGGAGTATATCTCATTTTAAATTAGAGGAAAAGACTGTTCCCACTGTGTTACTATGGTACCAGAGAGGTGATGGGGCTGGGGACATGTTCAAAAGGAGAATCAACTTCAGGCAAATGTCTCCTGGGGTTGCGTTCATGACCTGTCCTCAAGGATGTCCAGTGTTCAAGGTCCCACACCATCCCCAAGTGCTCCGCTCCACTATTTCATCATCCCTACTGCTGGAAAACAGGTCCTTACACCTCACCTGAACCTCCCTTCCTGTGATTTAAAGACTTACTTCTTGCCCTAACCCCCCAAAAACTCCAATGTGTATACATTATGTATGCTCTGCCTGCTTTAACATAGAATGTCTGAATTTCTGAGAGAACAGAGAAGAAAGCCAACTCACATTTCAGAAAGTGACTTAGGGGCCTGTCTGGCTGAGCAGGGTCTTGACTGGAAGACAGAAAACTCCGCTCTTACCATTCCAGTACAGATTTAAATCACCTACATGTGTCCTGACTGATAGTATTTAGTGAGTGGCAAGGCTTGGATACTGTGAAAGGAATATGAGAAGGTGTGTTACAAAGAGATTGTGTTTTCTTGGTATGCATTTGCAATCTGCCATCCTCAGGAGCAGGAGCAGCAGTGATTCTGGAACCTCATTCTGATTAGAGTGACAATTACAGGTGTGTACCAGAGTCAACAGTGAAATACCTGAGCGCAGCAAGACAGCAGGAGATCTTGTGGTGATTATTACGGGAATATTTGTAACTATGTCCAAGCAATTTATTTGATGAGTTATTCACAATACTCCCTGTTGGCAGAGAGATTATTGAATTTATATTAATGAGGAGTGAAAATTATTAGGGAAAAGGTTAGTGGTTGTGGCTTTAATTGAGGAGCAGAAAGAAAATCCTCCCTTGGGTCATTTACTCTATTCTCTTGACACTCTGACAGAGCAGAACTTAACTCTCAACTGGTCCTTCTATCCCAGCTTGAAATGCCTGATGATGATCTCATTCTTTTGAGCTATGACATAAGGTGTGAGTGTCAGTCTCTGCAGGTGACCACATCTCTCAGAGAAGTTTCCTTGAGAATTTTTTCAAGCAGCTAAACAACCCACTTCAAGTGGCTGTGCAACAGATGATTTTTCCATGTTTCACCAAAACTTCAGGAAAAGCAGTGTTTTTTAACAGTGTTCCACAGCCGTTGTTTTGATTTTGGAAAATCCATTAACAACAACAACAACAAAAATCACTCTAGTGACCTGAATAAAGCTGAACTGGCAAATTGCAGATACCCAGAAGGAACAGTGTCTTGTTTATAAGGAAAGAGTGTGGTTACTGTGGTCGGACAGCTGGGCTACAGGCCAGGTCATGCCTCCTAAACATATTTTATCTAACCTCATGTCACAGGCAGGATGTGGGGAATGTAAGATCATCTCTTCTGAAAGGTAAGGGCCATTCACAGAGAGTGTAGACTGGCTCCCTTGACAGCTGCTTTGCCTTACACCCGCTGAACCTCTACTTTTTCATTAGGGTATCAGAGGAAATTTCTAGACCTGCTGGGATCAGAATTGGTGCAGATCCACCTCAGTGGCTTTCCCCAGGCAGTCAGAAAGTCAAAGACAGGCTGCAACCAGGCCTGAATGGACCCGTTCTTCTCAGCCAACCGCTAACACTTAAGGTATGTTTCTGCTTGGCAAGCACGGGGTGTGACAGTAGCACATAAATCATGGGTGCAGCTAACATGGTCGAAAAACTGCGAGGTGGTAGGTAGAGTCCCTAGAGAGTCCTTGCTCCTTCCGTGGCCGCTGGTGTTGCACAGGGTGGCTGGAAGAAGCCATCACGGCTACAGAAGCACCTCGGCTTAGTTGGCTAGAGCTAAGGGGACGTCTAGTGGTGACATTTTAAAATCCAGATTTCTGTTTAACTAGAGGCATCTAGTTTTTCCACTGTTGCTGCAGCTTCCTTGAAAGTGATGGGCAGAGGCAGCAGTGAGATTAAAGGTGTCTTGTGTCAAATTTCCCCTGTGAGAGAAACCGGCAAATTGAATTACTGGATACAGGCAAAGCTCAGCTCTTAGTCTCTCTTCTGCAAACCCTGTGATGGTGGTGGGGCTTCCGAATGCAGAATGGGCATAACTGGTGTAGAACTGATGCTGTCTTCCTGAAATAGCCTGATGGGTTTTATATTACCTCTGCCTCTGCAAGTGGAGACCCCAGACCACAATAAAAAATAATTTAAACTTTGTAATTTGATTTTTTAATGTGACTTTACAGAATATGTAAGACATTCATGACTTAGACAATGCAGTAGGACCCTGCTGTATGACACAGACCTTCAAAAGTCAGTTGCTGATTTCTCAATACAGTGCACTGATTTTTGCAGTCGTATTTCATCTCCCCTTGGACAATAACTGGGGACTTAGCGTGGGGTAAAACTAAAAGAGATAACACTGTATCCCCTTTATCCATACGCTTATATACTGCTCTGACTAAGGAGAATGTATGTAAATATAGATATCCATGCAAGGCAATGCAGTAAATAAATATTGAACACAGATTAAAAGAGGTTCACTAATATCATCCTATTTTCTTTTAGGATTTATGAAAAATTTCCTTGGCATTATGTGCTTGGTGGTAAGCTTGCTCTGAGGGAACGTGCTCGCAGAAGGACAACTCTTTGACAAAATTATCTTTGAGGCTGTGCCAATAACAGCTAGAGGAACTCAGGTGCAGCTCCAAAAAGGCTGCTCCCCCCTTATGAGGACCATTGCAACAGGTAGACATGGTAATGTAGTGCTAAACTGCCTTCTCTTTCTCCCTAGTCTGAGAAATGCAAAGTTTTCTCAATGTAAAGAAACTAATTACTTATTTTTCAGGCTGTTAAACCAAATGCAATATATACATCCCCCCCCAGTGTGCTCTGGCATTGCTGCTGCTGCAATCACAGCAGTAAAGGATTTTGCTGCTGCTGTTGCCATATTTTTCTTGTGGCACGTTTTTAGACAAAGCTGTGTCTTGTTTTTGGATTTTTTTTTAATGCACTGGGAAACTTCTGCTCTCACTCCTTGGCCAGTTTACTTTGCCAAATCCCCAAATTAATTTCTTTGAATGTTTCTTTGTTATTTCTCAGTAAGTCTTCTTTTTTTTTGTCCTTTCTCCTTCTCATATCATGAGGTCTTTTTCCCCTCCTCAAACCAGTGACCAACAGAAAGACCTTGAGTAACAATCTCTCACCCTTAACCATCTAATTTTTTCAGCTCAGACTTTTCTCCACCATTCTGTCTTTTGTGTGCTGAAACCAGTTATTACCTTGATTACAGAGCATCCCTTCATGATGAAATAGCTCTGGTGCTGAGCAGGAGCACAGGCAAAGCTCAGACACCTACCCTTTCTTCAGACAAGTTTTCATGCTCCTATGCTTAGAGATTGATAAAATTCCCCATGTTATGTACTGAAGTACTGATGTACTGGTTTCCTTTTCCATGGATTCACAATGAAATGTGGTGGGTTTGTTCTGTTTTCTTTTTTAAAGTTCCTGCCCAGATGTTTCCAATTGATTACCTTTTCTTTAAATTTAACTTGTTTCTATTTAATTCTATTTAATTTACTTAACATTTTTGCCAAGACTTGTACTACTAAGGTCTAAGAGGAGAAGGGCTGCGTGTGGAGGCAGTACTTTTTTCCCAATGAGATTCTTTCTGCCCCTGCTACACAAGTGTGAGTAGTTTTAACTGCCTTATTTTTTTTTTTTTTTTTTTTTGAGTGAGGAGCAGGTAAGGTAGTTGTAAAAAAAACAGGATCTGAGTTTTCCTTTTGCTGTGCTCTGACTTTTCCAAGGCTTGTGAAGTACTGAAGGGGTCTGCGATGGGAAAAATCAACAAATGCCTCTTCCTTTGTAACAACATGTTCTGCAAGGGTTGCCTTTCCATTGTGATATCCCCTCTTTTGGCCTTGCTTTGCTCATCTACACCAACTACCATTACTTTGAGCTGCGCTGCAAATAGCAAACCACTGAAGGAGAGGAGGGGCCCTCTTATTTGGAAGAAAGCTTCCCTTTAGATATTCTTGGAGTGAGTTTGGAATTATCTTGTTGCTTTTGTGAAGGATTTTGTCATTTGCTACTTTGTGACATGTGGCAAATCAATTTGAATTTCCCAGCTCTCTGCAGCACATCACTCTGTGTTCCACCTGTCTTGCCAGACAGATTAGATTTGCACTTGTAAAGTCTAAGCAAGCAAAGTATTTGTACCAATGATGGAAATATTTTCTCCTTCCTCATGACATGACTGGGCAGAGTGTGTATGAAGAGTGGGTGTGCTCAGGTACAGGCAATGCGTGTGTATCAGGACTGTGTTTACAAGTGATGCTCAGAAGACCAGTCCCTGGGCTTGCACTCTGCTGCTGCTGCTGCATCCCTGGCTGGTGCTGCCCGTCCCTTCTTCCGTGGAACAACAGTGCCAACTGCTGGCTGCCGAGCCTCCCCTGCCAGGAACCGGCTGTGCCTGCGGGTGGAACTGGTCCTCTAAGCTTAATTTTAGGGTCACCACTACCTAAAACAAAGCATCCCTTTGCTGATGGTTTGGATACTTCGCAGAAATATCTCGGTTTGGTGGTCCTTGTTTCCATACCAAAATAATATTCTACTGAGCTCAGGTGAGCCTGGGCCGGTTACCTTTCCTTGTGACATTTCTCACATTCATTTCAAAACTAATTGTTAATGATGTTTTAAAACTCTGTGTTTCTCCTCATCTCCCAGGGCTGGCTGCTCAGAGGAAGGAGAAGGTTTCTGCTCTGAGCAGTGGAAGGGCCATGAAAGGTGTTGTATGCTCCCTGGAAGATTTTAATCGTGGAGTTGTGGTAGCAATTTGCCATCTACAAATTTGAGATACACATACGTGTTATAGCTACAATGAACTCTGGGGAATATGAGATGGTGGTTTATGTATTTCTGCACAGGATACTACACAGTGGTTTTGTTCAGGGAAAAAAGGGAAAGAAAACAGTGAGGATAAGGAAAAGAAGACAATATGCAGGTGTACATGTAAGTGTCATTTTGTTTGAATTTCAGTGAAATGCTTTAATAGAAAAAGTAGTTTGTTTGGATTGTTGTTTTTTGTTTTGTTTTGTTTGTTTGTTTGTTTTTTTCACTAAGAAGAATATCAAATGGGAAAGACAGGTCTGTTTCTTTAAATGTTTCCCGTGAAAAAGTGCTCACGTTATTTTTTTTCTCTATAAGGCTCTGTATGTTCCCTGTCTCCTTTCCTTTCTGACCTGTGTTCTTATTCTGGGAGGGTTACAGTGTTTGCAGGAGGTGGCAGTAGAGAGGACACATGGATGTGGAGTAGGAAATGGGAAGGAAAAAAGTATTAAAAAAAGAAATTTAGAGAGCTTTGCAGAGAAAGGGGAAAGACGGTGAATGGGTAAAGCAATAAACCTGGGAGAGATGATCAGGGGAAGTTTGTAGAGAAAAAAAAGGGTAGGGACAGGAAAAGACAGGCAGCCAAACAAACTGAAAGTGAGTTTAATGAGTCAGTGTTTCTGTGTGTTTCTGGCACCTCCCAAAGGGCCATTTTTTACTTGCTCCCAGCCACAAATGTTCTTCATAATTTTTGGAACAGAACACAAGAGGAAAACTAATAAATCAGCTATTCTTAAACATATGTGACAAGCCCAGGCTGAGGTGCAGGTGAACCACAACCATGTGAGGTCCCTTAAACTGAAGTTGGAGAACTTTGGCCACCACCGCAGGTTTAGCGCTGCTTCCAGCCCTCTGTTACTCTTTCACTCACGTGGTGTTGTGTTCCCCCTCCAGCCCCAATGTCTTCATAGGGAAATCTAAATGAGGCAGAAAGGAGAAAAAAATAAAACTAACCCCCTCAAAAAAGAGCAGTATTTTGATGCTAACTTGAAAGACAGGAACATCAAAACTCCTCCTGTGGACCTGAAACCTTAGGTTTTAGGGAGTTTGTTTTCAGGAGAAGCTTATAAACCCTATGAAAAAAGTAGCCCTCAGGCAGTCTGTCACTGTAGCCCCAACTGGGAGCCCCAAGCTGGCTCTGGGCGCCATTGGGGACGGGAGGGCCACAACACTCAGCAGCGGAGAAATTGTGTGCAAGCGCAGTTCTGCTTGTGTAGTGGGTTCCATGCCAGTCAGGTGTTATGCTAAATGTCAGGAGTGGGAAACTGGAGCAATTAGGGGACAATCTCAGTCAGTTTTACAAGCCATGCAACAAAATATTTCTTGTGAAAGAAATTGACATTCTGTGAAACTGATTTCTTAAGTATCATAAATCACAGGTTTTGGGTTAGAAAGGACTTTAAAGATCATCTAATTCCAACACCCCTGCCATGCGCAGAGACACCTTCCAGGAGACCAGGTTGCTTAGAGCCCCATTCAGCATAAACACTTCTAGGAATGGGGCATCTACAACTTCCCTGGGCAATCTGTTCCAGTGCCTCACCACCCTCACGTCAAAGAATTTCTTCCTTATACCTAATCTAAAACCACCCTCTTTCAGTATGTACTGCTCTGTTTCTAATGACAGTGTGTTGAATTTTTATTAGTGATGTGAATAATTAAGCCGGATGTCATGCCATTATTTGTTATTTCTTTTAATTAAGCAAAATGAAAATTTTGCCAGGACACGTGGTTGCAATTTTCAAGAGTCTTGTTCTAATCACGCACTGATTTATTTTACTTTCGCACACACAGGCATTCCTCCTACACTGTATGTTTCTCCAAATAAAGGGAGCAGGCTACATGCTTTCCTATCCATGGCAGGCCTTTGTCACTGAGATACCCAACCTCTTACTGAAAATATATTTATATGTATAATATATTATTGTATTATTAAGGAAACTTAATGGTGGAGCAGAACTGAGCATACTCACCGGAGAGAAAGCGCACATAAAGGTAGGATGAGAGGCTGGAGAAGGCAGAGAGCTGTTACTCCCTGTACCAGCCATAGGTTTTTCCTGCGGTGGGGTGGGATGCCATGGGGACAGGTGAGGTGCCTGTGTCTGCTGTCCCTGCATCCTGAGCAGTGGCAGTGGTGCTGGGAGCTGCAATGCCGCTAGATGTCCCTTGTCACCCGAGTGAGGTAGGCGGCTCATCCCCACCCCTGAGCTTCAGGCATATACGATGTAGTGTTATAAAGAAGCCTGTGGTTTAAGTATTAAATATCGAGAAAAGTTGTGTCTGTATTAAAAAAAAAGTCTTGTGTCAGCCTGTGAGGTAACATAGGTACCAAGGAAAAGGGTACTTCTTTAGCCACTTTAATTTTTGGTGGAACACACTCCACCATAGGGAGGATTTCATTTTGAAGGCTTATTTACACCAGGGCAATTCAATATTTCCTGGTGGAAAAGAAATCATGCTAGGAAATGCTGATTTGGTGAGCCTAACACCATGATTTCAGCTACCTTTCCCCTGCTGACACAGGCCTGTCTGGTGCAAGGTGGGGTCCTGGTATCCTGCATCAGCTGAGCTGGTGGGGGGGTTTGGGGGGAAAAGGACCTACAGGCTTTCCTTGCACCTGCTTAATGATTTTGCCATTTTAGGCATGTTTATGTCGAAAAAGGCCAGAAAAAAGGTCACTTCTGTGAAGAACTCAGCCCCTCCACCTCACTGGTGCAGCTGTAGCCCCAAAGGCTCAATGTGCCCCTACAGAGTGGGGAAAAGGCTGGTGGAAGAGGGAACAGCTGCTGAGGGAGGTGGACTGGTGTAGGTATATGGTATGGAGCAGGCAGAGCTAAGGGCAAGAGGCTGCAAGCTCTTGGAGGCAGTGTCTAAAGGGGGCACAAGGAAACTTCCCAAACCTGCTTCCACCTGGCCTTCCAAAACCTTTCCTTATGCTTCCCAGCACTTGTGTCACTCAGTGTGCACAGATCCATGTGGAGCCCATGCTGCTCAGCCACATGGTTTGTGTTTGCCTTGTGGCTTGATCCTCTCTCCAGCCAGCTGTGCTGGTGCTGCCATGCTAGTGGTGCTCTTGCCCCTCCAGACCAGTGTGACAGCTGGGTTTGAAGGGCAGCCTCCAACAGCAGGAGTGTGCCAGCCCCTCAGTAGTCCTGTAAGAGTTAATGCCTCCCTGTGCCCATGTTTTCACCACAGTGGAAGCTGTGTTTCCATATGTCCCTAGCTTCCATAGCTGGCACCTTGGCGTGGGCATCTGTGCCACTCCGCATGGCTGTGCCCTTGCAAAGACTCACCTGAACTTGTGCTGGGCAAATCCTCCCACTCCTGGTCTCCTACAGTGCCCCGTGTGCCCTCTGCACATACCACGGCTGCACAGTGGGGTGTGCATGCCCCTAAACTGCCCTGAAAGCAACGACATGGCTCACCTGACCAGCCAATGTCTCCCATGTTATGGACTTTTCTCCAATGTAGGTAATAACTGATTGACTGTCACCTGTTTCTCAGAATGAGCTGCTGTGGTGCGTGACTGCACAAACCAAGCTGTTGTGTATTCAGAGTCATGTCTGCCTGCCTGGATTACAGAAATGAAGCATTTGCTGCTTGCTACTTCATTTAAACCTGCGGGACCCCATAGGGCGCATCCTCCTCGTGCACCAAGGTGTCCATGTGTGCCACTTGTCAATCAGGGACTTCTTCACCAAGTAACATCTGAGCAAATCTCTTAATAACAGAGGGACTACACACAGATTATTGTGATCATAATTTCACCAACATAGCCTTTATTACTAATGGTGATATTGGAGGTGGAAAACCCAGCTCGATTCTCAGATCCCTACTGGAAAGTAATAAAATAAAGAGGAACAAAATCTGTGCTTGTACTTGCTACCAAACCTTTGAAAAACACAAAAGTGGAACCCTGCCAATGCAATTGCTGGCAATTTTTCAGAATGGAGCCTCATTCTGAGGTAGGATTAGAAGTGGAAGTGCATTTTGTGTCTCTAACATTAATGTCATGTTATCGTGTACAAATGGAGGGCTTACAGTCATTTGGCATTTACTGGTCTCTATTTTAATTATTGTGTGCCAGTCTTAACACCTTCAGAGTATTTTTGAACACCTTCTGATAATAGAATAATTAGAAAATAACTTCATCAATCATGAAAAAAATGGTGCCTATTTTGTTAAGGCGAACAACTGACAAAAGAAGTACTTCAGTAGAAGTGGTCTGATAAAAATGGAGCTGTGTTTCATTTTGCTTTGTTGAGAACATGGATGAAGGCAGGCTGGCTTTTATTTAGTCTTTTGTTCATTCCTGGGCAATGGCAGAATTCGCAGCTAAATTGTGGCGTCAGAAAATTCTCGGATGGTAGCTGAGAATGATATAGTATCATGTATTCTCACAGTAACAACAACAAAAAATTCCTAACTCATAGCTCAGATTTTGAATATCAGAATGAGCTTTCAGTACTAAGAAATGAGCCTGCAGTACTAAGAATACAGAAAAAAACTACTAAAATTTTCCAAACCCAAGAAGATTCACTTGATATAACCAGTAGCAAAAAAAGAAAAAACAAAAAAAACCAAAGAGGAATGTAAATGTAATTTTAAATTATTTATTTCATTCTCTCTCTTTTTTCATGTTAATATATCCTTGGCTCCTAGTTCACAATGACATGCTAATTACAAATGTAAGAAAACCTAACTTTTTATTGTGCTAATTAACCTGTATGTCACATAGACATTTGGGGAGAATTTCCCATGCTTTCTAGTGAGAATGGAAGGAAAGAGCAGCGGTGCTCACTTAAAACTGAATTTTTTTTCCTAGTACCTTGCAAAAAGGCATCATTGTATTTTGATTAATCCATGCTTGGTCCATCTCGGATGTTTCCATGGAAACAGAATTTTTTTCCTTGATGGAAACTGTTAGGCTCAGGAAAGCTCCTCATTGCACAAAACCATCAAGCTCCTAAAGAACCACTTGTTGGAAATTTAATGTGCATAAACAAAACTCCCAAATTCCTCCTTAGTGTTATTGTTGTCAATGCTAATAGAGAACTGTTTTCTTAATGACACACAGTGGTGCCTTTTCACTCCACAAGAAAATAGAATAACAGTAGTATTCTTTCCATTGCAAGAGAGTACTTCTCCTGGTCCAGAGACAATTAGCCTGCAAACCTTCCAAAATTAAATTTTAGGAGTTCTGATGTGTGTATATTACTTATTTCTGGATCCAAATAATTTGGTTTAATGGCTGTTAAATTGTAATTGATTTTATAATGAAGATTATTCTTGTGTGCCTCAGTTTGGGTTATGGAGTTTTGTTGGGGTTTTTGTTTCATTTGGTTTTTGTTTGGTTTGGGTTTGGATTTTTTCCTCCCAAAAAGTATATACTCTCTTAATGGATATTACTGTGATATTCGGAATACCATTTGAAAATCAACCAACAGAGGGAGCATTTTTGTGTTATTATTAATTTAACCAAGTAGTTGGAAACCTGACCATCATTTCTCCCATTATTTTTGGACAACATGTTTATTGCGTAAAATTAGAGGATTTCTTGACCATTAAAATGTCTTAGTTCAGAGTGTTTTAGTTTTAAAAAAGTCCAGTCTTAACTTCTGCTGACAATGCAAGTAGCTATTTTAAATTGTTGGGTTTATTGCTTGTAAATCTAGAAGTTTTAGACCACAGAGTATTTATTACTTTGATTAATAGGTAATTGCTGGTTAAAAATACATTGAGAAAAACAGCTCAAACTCCTCTAATTTATATTTGCCTTTTATTACAGTGGCATTTAGGAGTACTACCCAGACTCCAAGATCCATCATACAAGAGCCTATAAAAACACAGAATGTAAATAGTTTTGTTACAGTAATGCCCTGATGCTAGTGCTTGTGTGAGGGCAGAGAGAGAAAAAATCTATTGACTTGTTCACTTTTTTTTTTTGTTTGTTTCATCTTTGTTCATCACGGTAGGGAATCTGCCAAATGGAAAAAGGAAAATCACTTTGAGAGCTACCACAATTTTTAAACTTCTTCAAGGCATACCAAAACCAGCAATTACATATCAACTAGAGGAAAAAAAAGCGGAAGACTAGGTATTTCTTGGTACCTCTTTTATGTGTTCACTATTAGAATGCGAATAATAATAATGATGATGATGGTGATACGTTCACTATCAGAATGTGGATGATGATGATGATGATGATGATGATGATAATAATAATAATAATAATGTTTTGCACCCTGTGTTCTATCCTAATCTTTGATCTTAAGATTTTGGGGTATTGTTACTTTTAACTACTGTAACTGCACTCTAAAATACTTCTCTATTGTCAGCATCAGATGTAAAGCAATTGCTGCTCTTTGCAGTGTCTCAACAGGTCGGAGTCAGGTACCCAACTGAGTGACAAGGGAGGCTATGCAACGCTTTAGAACTATTAAATGAGTAGAAGACACCAGGACCTGGCTGCAGCAACCTAAGTGAGACTTGATGAAGGTTCAGGGCTGAGCATCCCTCTTGGCTGGGAAATGTGACAATGCCCAAAATGGTCACGTAGTCAGGGTCTGGTGGTGACATACCACAAGCTTGACTTTGCAGAACTGTGCTGCCCGAAGACCAGGATTTCTTTGAGGACAGTGTTTCTCCTTTATAGGTGGAGCTGCTTTAATGAGTGTTCATTTTGAACCTCAAGAGAATCATGCATGAGATACTTTGAGGTAGTAAGGTCTTCTAGTTACTGAGATTTTTTTCCCTTGATATTGCTTTCCCTGCTGATTAAATTGGGATGGAACTCTTTGGATTGCTATTTGTCTAACGCCCAAGAATGGGCAACCCCAGGAACCTGCAGTGCCTAGGCCTCTTGGGAACAGGAAGACACAGTATTAGCGGCATTAACAGTGCCTTAAAATTAAGTGTAGAACGGTACAGTCTGGAGCACTGCCATGTGCAGGAGAGGGAGAACCCTATTTATACACCAGTAGGCTATTCTGGGAGTGCTAACACTGAGAGTGAGCAGCTGTGAGAAAAACAGAGAATAAGTGACAGTACACTCTGAAATGGAAATCACAGCAAAGCGCCATATGTGTTGACTGAGTAGTACCGCCAGCGCCCTCGTTTCGGTGCTCTGAAGTGATAGCTTACAACTTGCTGGATGAATTTTCACAAAACTGCTGTTCCACACAGTAATCTCCAGAACTGCAGCTGTTCTGACTTGTATACAGCACATGGGATAACAGTGGTCGGCAAAATTCAGTCTTGAACGCTGCTGGAAGACCAGGCAGGAACTGAAATATTTGCCTTCCCCATTGCAGACCTCATTAACACATGTACATATCATCCCCTGGGAATGCAGTTTCCTGATCATGAGGTTCTTCTATGAGCAACAACGCAGATAGATTCCTGCTTGCAGGAGTCATGCATTGCAATGTTTACATTCACCTCCTAAAGCTTTCATACAAATATGAGAACAGAATATTAATTCCCTTGACAAGGCAGCTTTTTCACACAGTTGGGTTGTTTATTTGCCTACCGTGGTTACTATCAATAGTTTCCTTTCAGTTTTGTTCTTGGGCTCTTTAAAGATTTGAGAAGTTCCTGTGGACCATGTTTGTCTGTGCAATGGAGTAACTCCTGCCAAGTGTGTGTATGCAGCCAAGGGCAAGCCAGGACTTGTGATAGTGGGGATCTGAGGTGGGCTTCCTAAAATATGTGAAAAGCCAGACTATTAAAAGCAGTCAGGGCTCTGTTATGGTCTCATCTCTCAAATCACTCTGCACTTAACATGGTAAAGCCTTGAAAATCCAATGATTCTTGAACACTTTGGCTCCATCACAGGTGTTAAGCCCTTCACAAGTGTTAAGCCCTTCTCATCATGGCAACTCCAGGCACCAGTTTGGAATCACTGCAACTGCAGCCATGTGTCCATCCTGGGAGGACGTCCCAGACCCAGAGGTCTGTGCCACAGCACTTCTGTGCCCTCCTTCTTCCTCACCCCTGCAAATCCTGGTGGAAATCCATCCTCGGATCAGGCATTGCTTTGAGAATGTCTCAGTTCTCCATCTTTGCTGCATGTGCATTGCTCTGCCAGCACACCTGGTGGTGTCCCAAAAATGCCACCACACTTTCTGATATTTCCTGTGGGGGAAACACACTGTTCCCTTCCCAAAAACCCTGGGAGGACATGGACATACTCACTACCTGCATGTTCAAGACCCTGGAGTGACCTAGGCCAGGTATTTAACAGCTTCAGTGTCAGTGTTTTTTCAGTGTTCCCCACCTACAATCTTCTTTACTTTTCATTTTCTATCTGAGGTTCATGTACTTATGCATAACAGTAAATTGTGCACCTAATATCAGAGGTTTTCCCAGTAACTCTTGTGTTTAATTAACCCTGGCAATTTTGCAGTCTATTAGCTTTTCAAAAAAGATATGCATTTGTCTTGTGGGAAACACCAGGTAGATGCCAGATGAACTAATTCTGCCAATTTATTCTTCTGGATTATTTGGAAGAAAGAAACAAACAGCTTTGTGGTTTGCTACCAGAATAAGTTAGGCGTCAGAAGCAACTAAATCCTATTTTCAAAACTGAGGTTTAGAGATATCCAACTCTGTGTGTCTTACTGAAAATCCTGAGAATGCAAGAACATAGTAAAATATCTAACAAACCTGAGAACCTAATGGTGCTGTGAGGAAGCCAAGAGATTTCCAATTCTATAATGAGATTTCCAATTCTATAATGACTGTAGACATCCAAATCTCACTGATTGTTGAGTTTATGTGCCTTACCATGGCTGTTTAAAGGTCATGCTGAAAGATTAAACACAAGGGGTTTCTTGCTGGTGTTGATGAACAGGAGTAATTTGCTGTCATGACGAAGCAGTAGCAGCTGTGCATGGGAAGATTGTCAGTGGGAAGGTGCTCTGGATTAAGTTAAGCACAGGGTTTGGGGCCACAGTTTTGGAAGACTCTGCAGCCATTGCTTTCATCTTAATTGGCTTCTTATTTGGGATTGTCCTCTTCCAGATGGTAAACTCCGAGACTGTGGAAATCCAAGGTGAAAACTAGGGCACTGAAAACAGCTCCTGACCAAAATTCCTCTCATGACTCAGATTCCTCTCACCTCGCTGTGGGCGAAGAGCACTGATGCAAGAACAGCGGTTCCCACAAAGAACTGCAGTTCAGAGAGCAGAATTATAGGCACATGCACATAGATGTGTGGTTAATCGTGAACGAGTGGAGCGTGTTTGGAAAATGTTGCATAATGTAATTACTCATTTCTGTGCTGCAAATCCCTCAGGGAAATTACTGCTGTTTGAATGTACACGTTAGACATATGGCCATTGTATTAATGTTCTGTTCAGGAAAAAATACGTTGGTCAATAATTTGACCTAAGTTCACGGTTCTCTTATGGGTCATCAAATTAGTCAGAACTGTATTTGCTGAACTTTAAAGCATAGTTATTTTGGGGCCCATGGGATTTGAAGGTTCTGAGTCAAGGAAACAAGCTCCATAATGTTTTTGATTGACACCAGTTAAATATTCTTTCCTGGTGCATTCCAATGCAGATAATACTTTTGTGTGCCTCCAACTCAAAAAATCCAAAGAATAATTAATTTTTCTAAATATTCACTCTTTAAAAACTAGTTGCTTTAAGGTGTTGTGAGCTGAGTACAAAAATGGCTTCAAATCAGAATAACTAAGGCCGGGAGTAACCTTTGGAATTATCATTCTTCAAAAGCTGTTGTCGTGCCAGGGTAAGGGAAATAGCTGAGAGAACTTTTGGTAATGGTGTTTGAAAATACAGTATGTGTGAAGAAAAGAGAAATTGCAACCTAAAAAAAAAAAAATAAACAAACAATAAAAGGAAAGGAAATTCTAAACATAAAATACCAAGTGGTCTTTGATCTGCTTCATTCCAAGCTTTCTTAAAAGTTGGCCTATTCCACTTTCAGTTCAGACTTTTTGACCTTGTTTTGCCAAATCAATTTTATTGATTCCCAGGTACCTGGGAAGGTTACAGAAGTTCATAGGTCCAGACTCTTGAGACATGTCCCTTAGCTGTCTTGTACTCAGTTACTTCTACAGAGTTTTGCAGGCAGTGTAAGTCATGGCTGTGTAATCAGGGTCTTTCACAGCCTCAAGAACAACCTGTGGAAATGCCTAATGAGCATTAATGGACCTAACAACTCCATTGGCCAGTCTCACCTGGACCCTCCAACCACACCATGGGCAGGGGGGGTCATTTCACTTCAGTCTGGAGGTGCTGGTCCTCTCTTAAGTTTCTGTGGGGCTGTGGTCTCCTGTTTTCCCTCCTAGGTGGCTCCTGGCTCATCCTTTGCTATGCTGTAGGCTGTCAATGGACAGCACTACCAGTCCTCTTGTTTATCATAACTTGTGTGTTTTGCTGTATTTTGTTGTTATTTGCTGCTTCCTTTGTTGACATGAAAATTTTCATCCAGTTGTGATGGGTATTAACTAAGTTAGCTCTGTACCATCTAAAAGACTTTAAATTGAGGGTTCTAATTCATTTTAACTAAAGCTTATTTGATCTTTTGTAGCTCTAAAATTGCAGACTTCAAAACCAAATTCTATGTTTAACTTTAGTTTCAAAAAATATTCTGTAATTTAACTCAAATTCTAGGTTTTATTTTGCTGGAAAATATTACTGTGAGCCTATAATGGGAGTTTTTGATCTCAACAGTCACAAGACACACGAGAATAAATAGTTTTTCATGCCAAACATTCCTGTTTACACTTAAAAAAACTCAAACACACAAAAAAATACAAACAAAAAAATCAAAACAATCACCTTTTTTATAGAAGGCCACAGCAAAATAAAGGAGGGATTGCCAGAGGTTCTTGGCAGGACCAAGCAAACCTGTGTAGTTTGCATAACTTCCTTGACTGAAGGTACAATGCTTAGGAAGATGGTTTTGTTGGCTTGACATATGTCCACAAATTATTCTGCAAACTTGGGCTTGTTCAGCACTCCAGGAGAGAGACAGTTCTGGAGTGAGATTGCTGTAGTCTGTTGGATGTGGTACTTGCTGGAAATGTGAGGCTCTGTCTCGGGCCTTAACTGGTGAACACAAATGCTCTTTTTGCATGGTTTTGTTTTGGTGGAAAATGAATCAGTTCTGTGGGGATCTGGTGAAAGAAGCTTTCCTGGCAAAAAGTGCTTCATGATTTGACCCCATGTCTTGTGGGGCTGTTTGTCCAAGCCACATAGAGTGTGCATTTCACAGCTGTCCAAGGAACTGGGGTTGAATTTTTTTGTGTGTGCATCAGCCTTAACCTGCAATGCACTTGGTGACCCTCGAGATGATGTGTGTGGTAGCTCCTGTTGGTATTGTGAGGGAAAGGGGTGTGCTGAGGGCTGATGGGGTACTCTCAGAGTGGGGGGGAAGAAAGTACACCCAGAAGATGGTGTAAGATGAGCTCACCGCAGAAACTCAAGGACTGTGCAGATAATTTAGCTGCTAACAGTGACAAAAGTGTGATTGCATGTGAACTGTGATGTTTCAAGGGCACATGGTTTTTCCTCTTCCTCTGTGGTTCATCATAGGCTTGGCAAGCAGCAGACCTCCCAGCTGAAGGCTATTTTCCAATCCAACTTTTGGTGTCTCTTCTAAGGATTAGGAGCCCTAGGGCAATTCACATTAAAGGTCACTAAGTTTTTGTTCCATAGGAATTTACCTCTATTGCCCTGCTCTCTGGAACTGCTGAAGCAGAGAAAAAGCATGGAAAAATCTCTCCAAATATCTGGTTCTTACATCCGATATCTACCAACTTTGCTCATATGTGACAAATGGTTTGTTTTCTTGAACCAGAGGAGCCCTTTGTAAATGATGCAGTTTTTAAAAGAGTTAAAAATATTTTTGCCTTTTTGTTTGTGATTTTTTTTTTTCCAAGTACAGTTAATTGAATTTCTCATATTAGCTTTATACTCTTTCTGGTATCAATAAAACATTGCTGAGCTATTAAAACATGTGACCAGACCCCAGTCATGGCCTGGCTGGTATTGATCTTGTTGACCAGCACCACCAGTGCAAGCAGCCCTGTTGCTCCATCTGTGTTCTGTCCCTTGTCTGTTTGGGAATTCTGTCCAGTGCAGGGCACTGGTGGAAGAAAAGCACTGGAATTGCTGAGGAACAGTGTGTTCAGGGGGAATAAGTGTGCTGGGAGCTGCTGAATCTGATATTGCCACTGAAAAGGAAAGTAATGATCAAGCTACAGCCTTAACTCATGCATGCAAAGAGGGCTTAGCTTTAGTGGTGCAGTGGTCAGAA